GCCGTGGCATCTACGAGTTGGTCTATTCTAGGGAGGGGAAAACAATCCTTGGGACAAGCTTTATTTAAGTCCGTGAAATCCACACAAACACGCCAAGTCCCATTTTTCTTCTTTACAACCACAGTATTCGACATCCATATAGGATAGATAACTTCCCGAATTGTCCCGGCATCAAGCAACCGGTCAACTTCTTCAACAACGGCAACAGTGTGTTCTGCGGCTGACCGCCGGCTTTTCTGAATAATCGGCTTACATTTGGGGTCAACATTTAAACGGTGTTGAGAAACAGATGGATCCACCCTCGATATCTCATACAGTGACCATGCAAATACGTCAAGGTTGCCGAGTAAGAAGGTAATTAGCTACTGCCTGTCAACTTTATTCAGGGAGGCGCCGACCATGAAGAATTTGTCAGGATTTCCATCAATTTCAACTCGATCCAAGGTTTCCGTGGCCTTTTCACTTGGAAGCCGCCCAACATCGTCAAGGCTCTCTCGATCCGACATCTCAATAGAATTCACTTCCAGTTCTCTTGGTGTCTTTGCGGCAAGGAGATAATAAGCTTGTGCCGATTTCTAGGAACCACGGATTTGTTCAATGCCGTGTTCGGTCGAGAAGCGGAGCAGTTGATGATAGGTGCTTGGCATGGCTTGCATGGTATGTGGCCAAGTTCGCCCCATGATGAGATTATACGGCGAAGGAAGCTTGACAACAGAGAATTCCACATCCACTGATCGGGAGCCCGCTCGAGCTGGTAGTGATATTGCCCAAAGGGTATTCTAGATTAGCATTGAAGCCGAATAACGGATAATGAGCCGGGGACAGATCATACTCAGTGAAGCTGAGTTTGATGAAGGTTTTGTAGTACATAACTTCTGAAGTACTCCCTTGGTCGATGAGAACACGTTCAACGGTGAATTGATTTATGTGTAGTTCAATGACCAAGGGATCGATGTGCGGGAGCGTTACGCAAACCAAATTAGAATCATCGAAAGCAATACTCGGAGCTTCATGGAGCCATTTCGATGGTGTGATTAGCGACTGAATTGTATGTACCGCGGATGCCGTCGGCAAGCTATAAATCATATGGATCACGCTGAGTGGGGGTGAATCTTGTCGTAGAGCAACTGCTTTGATTGAATTGTTCTTTCAGACGCGGTGCTTAAGCCGATCGTCTTGTACAACTCCTCAAGATGATCTTTTGAGGCATAACAACTGTCGGTATCATGTCTGTGGTCTTTGTGATATTCGCACTGTCTATCCCGTTTCCTCGTATTGGGAGGTCCGACCATCTTGGGTGGCCATTTGAAGAACTGAAGATGTTGAATTTTAGACATAACCGTGCTGATCGGCTCCGACCACTCCGTATATTTCTTGTCCGCGCGCCTGATGTGCCTGCCATCCATTTGAAGTTGTTCACTAGCCCGTTGTGGACATTGGTCATTTGATCGGCGTGAATCTCGTCTTCTGTCTCATTTAGCCCGATTCCGTGGTTCAGGGCTCCGCGAGGGTACATAATTTATCGACTGAACGATCTCAGATGGGGCCGTCTTGTTGGGCTTGTGCCCGGCTTTAACCCATAGGGCGTCATCTTTCACTTTACAATATTTCTCGACTTTCTTCATTAGCGACCAGACTGTTTTGGGGGGCCTTCTGGTCAAGGAGCTACGGAGGGCACTATTGGGGTGTAACCCTATTTTGAAGGTGGTGATGGCCATGAAGTCATTGCAAGCATCATCCACGAGATTAAAGCATTCCCAATAGCGCGCTGAATAAGCACGTAGGGCTTCCCCGGGTTGAACTTGCATTGCTCAGAGAGAATCGGCCTGCTTCGGCTGGACCTCATTGGTGATGAATCTTGCCCTGAAGGATTTTTGGAGTTGATGGAAGCTCTTGATCGATGCCGGTTCCAATTTATAATACCATCTGACGGCTAATGGTCTTAAACTGCTGGAAAATATTTGACACATGGGGGCCTCGTCGTCTGCATGTAGTGTCATGGCTTGCTTGTAGTGATGGATGTGATCGGTGGGGTTTGATTTTCCATCATAGAGGGTGAACGATGGAGCTTTGAACTTTTTGGGTAGTACCGCCCTTGCGATCCGTCGCACAAAGGGGTCATGTTGATCCTCTTCGTCTGAATCATTTCTTCTTAGTTTAGTCCTTGCGCGCGGACTCCCTTCAGAAAAGCTGGAGACTTCGACTCGTCCCTTCTTTTTGGATCCTGGAGATGACGAGTCAGAATCACTGCTACTATCTTGTCTCCGAATTCGAGGTCGTCGACCATCCTTTCGCAGAGGTTGTCCCGGATCTTGGCACGCGGCCTGTTGGGATTTTGCTACCTCCAAGGCCAAATCCTATCGAAGGCGCTCGTTCTCAGCCATCATGTTTTCCAGCCTCTGTTCATTTTGCTTCTCCTGATCCATAATTGCTTGCATTGTCTCATGCGCTGATGTCAAGAGTGAAGTCTAGGCAGCTGAGTCGAAGTTCAAGGCTCTTCGTGCGGTAATGTTTTCTGGTCCAAGCATGTTACTTGGAGTGGTGTGAACTCGTGGTATAAGGTCGTCAGCGACTATCGGAGGATCTTCCGTCACGCCCACCATGGATGTGTTGGAGTATTCCTACAGACGGCGCTAATTGTGGAGAAGTGGTTTGGAAACACTCTTTGGATCCAATAGGACGCTCGAGATTCTCAGCCAGTCACCTGAAAAGGAATGAACACTCCGGTCCGGGGTGCCGGGATTAGCACTCCGACGGACAAGTTAATGTATACTCTCTTGGTTGCTTATATCTCAAGTTTAGACTTTTTCTCACATACCTCTTGTTAGCTGATACTCTCCTTATTTATAGTCGTTCTTGATGTTGACGGTTGGGCCCTCCTTTCTTTCAATGATTAATCTCTCATTTGGCTAACTGTTCGTACTCGGCCTGGTCTATAGTTAATTATTCGGCCTTCGTCCCTCTGGGATGGAGTCGTAAAATTCACAATTTGGTTTCTTTCCTCAAGTTATTCGGCCTCCGTACATAATAGATTTATACGGCCCCTACAAAACTTTCAAGTCATAACCAAACACACAATTCAAAATTCTATTCAAAACTCATCCGGGGAGACGACCGATTAGCCCAATTTTTTTTGCCTTGGAAAGAGTTTTTAAAAGTAGATGTGTAATTACTTTTTGAAAAATGTAACCAAATACCACGTGCAAATCAAGAGGTAGAATTACATTTCCACAACATTTCCAAACAAAGCCTAAATATTTTTTTGAAAGTGGGGCGTGGTGGTAGCGGATGGTAACAGTAGTGGTAGTAGTAATATTTTACCTTAAAAAATATTTTTTGTTTAAATAAAATTTTTTCCGTTAATCACAGAGAACTTTTTTTATTTGCTTTCATTTTTATCTTACCAAACGCTAGAACATACAAAAATTATTTGAAAAATTGTATTTAAATGGTAATAATTCAAAATTATTACACTTTCATAGAATTCAGTATAAGTGAAAGTTATAATATGTGACACATTAATAACTTTCACTTGCATTGAAATTCTATAAAAGTATAATATAATTTTGAGTTGATCCTATTTAAATACAATTTTTCAAAATATTTTTTTAAAAATATTTTTCGTCAAAACAAATAAAACGCTAGTCTAAAAACTTAATCAGCTTTAAAAATGTGTTTTAGCTGGGTGTAAAACTTAATAAACTAAAAAAAAATGTGGATAAGGATCGTTTGCTATTCTTTTTATGCAATGATATATATATATATATATATATATTATAGGTTTTTACCATAGGACACTTTAACAAAGGATACAGTTCAACCGTTCAAATTTAAAATTTTTAAAAAATGAGATAAAGATGTTGATTTTTATTTTAAATTAAACATCCCAAAATGGTGTTATTTTGCTTCAATTTTAAATTTGAACTTTTAAATTACTACAACAAAATTATTACAAAAAAAAAAAAAAATTATTTTAAAAAAATATTGATTTAATTATATTTTATCTTGAACTCAAACGAGTATCAATCAAGTTCATTACGAGTTAAGTTGAGTAAGTTGATATATACAAATTGAATTGAACTCACATTATTAATCAACTTTAAAATGTTTAAATTTAATTTATTAAAATTCAATAATACTGTATACTTGGAATTTTTTTCAATAATATCAACACGTGATTCAAATTAATTCTATAAATGAATTCCACAATATATCAATTCAATCTCAGGCGCACACACAATTGGACACAAATTTGAACATATTTTTTGGATAATTAGAATTACAGATTTAAATAAGAGTCATGCTAATGATAACTTGGGCTATTAATAAAAAGTCAATACAAAATCTTGAAATATTTATAATCTCAATACACTTTGTATATATCTTAAAATGTTTTCACATATTTCAATACATTTTCAATACTAACAATAAACCTAAGGAGCCTTCTGAAATAAAAAAACAATAAACCTAAGGACTGTTTTGAAAGATAAGTAAAATAATTGTTAGATGATTTAATTTTTTTATTATAAATAATATATAAAAAAAAATACTACAAAATTATTGAGATTATAAGACCGTGGTGAGTTGTACGGCTCGACTGCCCCCAACCATTTATAAACACTTGTATATATATGATACAACTAGCTCTCTAAGAATAATACAGCTCATGTCAATACAAGGCACACCAAGCACAAATAAAATTATTAAAAAGAAAAATAAAAATCTCATTCTCCCTCTTGCACACAGCTATACAGAAGTGGGGCCTACACTGTTTTATTGGATCCTCACAGAATCTACAATGTACCGCACCACACGGTACCAAAATTAGTTGCCAGCTTGGATTTTTCCAAAATTGCTTCCAACTGTAATGCCCGCCAAATATGGTTATAACCGTCATCAATTTTTGCACATGCGATTTGTTTTGTTTTTTTTTTTTTTTTTTTCTCTTTAAAAAATTCCAAAAAAAAAATGAAAGATTAAAATGGGGGGGGACCAAAAAAAAAAAAGAAAAAAAAAAGAACCAACCACGTGGCATCAAATTGTTTTCTCAAATAATTATTCAACATTTACCAAATATCAACTCAAAATTCAACATGCTGAAATAATATTCCCAAACCAATAATAATACTAAAATAAATTTGAAAAAGTGGCATTGACTTAAATGTATTTGTCGCAAACACCATATTCCTTGATTTATTGGTTGAGAGTATCATATCAACATGTGTCATGTTGATATTTCAAAATTATTGAATAATTCTTTTGAGATTTATTACTTATTCGGTGAACTTGATTAACTCTTAGTGAATTGCGATAGCAACCACTGTAATAGGGACATGACTTATAGTTGCCCCTGCTACAACCGTTGCCGCCATAGAAATCGAAGTTGGGAGGTGAGGAATGCTCCAAAACCTTCTTCGTAGAGGAATTGGTCAACAAGTAGGATACTAGGCCCCGCCACTGACTTCTCCCAGATGTTGTTACCGTCGCTGTTGCCGCCTTTGAGGAATGCTTCGGTGGCATCAAGGCGGTGCATGCTCCACTCCAACTGGTTTTGGAGCCTCAAGATGTTCTCCAATTGGCAACAAGCCAATTTGCAAGTGTTGGACTTGATTTTCTCAATGGCTTCCTTAAGCATCAAAGCTTTAGTCTCATCATCAACATTTGGTTCTTCTCTCAAAAATTGATCCATTTCAGGAACTCCAATGGCACGCCTAATCCCTCTCGTATGATCAGCATTGGGATCGAAAATCCCTCTAATTTCATCCACCAAACCAATCTCCACCATCCGATTGACCCGCTCGGATACAAAAGAGTGCAAAACAGGCAATGAAACATCCACCCAAAGAAAACAACAATCATACTTTGATTGGAATTCAATGTCATCAATCACCAGAGCCTTGATGTAAGAATTGGACCCACCGGCGATGATCGGGAGGCGGTCCCGCCTCACGATGGACTCCACGGCCAACGAGGCATGGTGGCAGAAATCGGTGGCAGTGAACTCCACATTAGGGTCTACAACGCCTAATAAATGGTGGGGTACCCCGCGGCGCTCCTCATCGGTGACTTTGTTGGTGGCTATGTCTAGGCCTTTATAGACTTGCATTTTGTCGGAATTTACAATCTCTGCCGGAAACCGGGTGGCTAAATCGATGGAAAGTCTTGATTTTCCGGTGCCTGTGGCCCCCACCACCACCACCACCTTGTCCTTGCTGTGCGGCCGGGCCATGAAGGGGTCCATGTTAAGTATCCCTGGAGGGAAACTCACAAGGGGCTGTGCTTGTTTGATGGCTGCTGAGAATGAAATCCTCATATCTGTGACAACAAAAAAACCTGCTAGGTCATACATTGAAATTAAGTATACAAAGTAAACTCAACAATCAACATAGAAAAATGGAACTAAAAAATGGAATGACAGCTATCAAGAATCATCTAAAAACGCATTTGTGAGCATGTATGTTCATACATATGTATTTATAGATAGATAGATATGAACATAAAGATACAAAATTTAAGTGGATATATATCATATGATGTTGGACCACCATACCTCAACTGGTCAAGATCTTTATATGCTGAAGGAGGGAGCTGGGGGAGGAGAGAGAAGCTGTGGAAAAGTTGGAAAATATAGCTCAAACTCAAATGGATATATCAAGATCAAGTGAAGCTTTTGGTAAAATGGGGATTTTTTTTTTGTATGTATATGATATGCCTTCTATTTTGTTTCTTTTCTTGCTATTACGAGCACCACAAAGCGAAACCACTATACTTATCTTCTAACTCCTATATATGTACACTTGGGTGAGAGAGCGAGAGCGAGAGAGAGAGGCATATTCATCTTCTTCCCTGAAAATCACTTGGACAAGCCATTAGAGTGAGCTTGGTATTTATGGAGGTGGGAAAGCTTCCATCACAGCTAACTTATTTTTTTATGAACACATAATTTAATTATAGAATCGGATACAATTCTTTTAAATGAGACAAGGTCCAAATATTTAATGACTCTCTATATCATAATGTTGTGTCTAATTTGTACACTAACAATTTTTCCAATTGCCCCCATCAAATTTTTATCAAACTTTTTTTTTTTTTTCTTGGGTACATGTACATAATCTAGGCAAGGATGTAGTCTTGCTTGGGACAAGACTCGAACTAGTGGTGATATACATATTTAGTCATATTTTTTAAATGGAAAGCTTTATAATAATATAAAGGAAACAGATATTAGAAAAATAATATTTTATAGTAAATTTATATATTATATGGATTTATCAATCAATCACAAAAACAATATTTCATAGTGAGTGTGAAAAGAGAGAGATTCAACATTAAAAAACTGTAGAACCATTGATATAAAGTAAATTGATGATGTACAAATGTGATTTGGTCGATGAATAACTAAGTAGAAATTGTTAAAAAGAAGAAACTTAACTCAGAATTTATCGAGAGTCCTTATGAATAATCTAGATTCAATTATTAAATGATGGCTCCTACTTTTAAAATAAATCTCAATCACACATGTATTTTCTAGACAAATTTCTAGTAAAAATTTTAAGTTTGTAGAAGTTCTAGTAACAAAGACAAATGTGTGTTAACAAAAAGTGGTTGGTTTATCTCTTGTATAGTAAACATAAGTAAAAAAGTTGTATATGTGAAAAATAATGAAAAAATTACACCTTATATAGAAGATAAACTGTCTTTTAATGAATAGATGTGTCTATTCAATTTAATTTTTTGTAATGATTTGTAGGAGTATGACCATCTATATAAAAAATATTAATTTATAACTTTTAAAATTAGAGTTGAGTTTAAATTTGAGAGAACTTGGCGGTTTCGTGGGGCTTACCAAAAGTTCTATTTTGATGATTCGAACCATTAATTTTGTAGAATCCTCAATATATATCATTCATAGAAAAAAAATTAGATTGATCTGATAAGCATAGAATTTTTATTTTATCACATGTCTTTGAAAAAATAAACGGAAAATATATTTTTAAAAATAATTATTTTTAGACAATCATGATAAAATTTACATGGAGAGTTGTACAAAATGAACAATTCGGATCAATAAAACATAACTTGTGGCGAGTCTCACGAGCTTGTCAAATTCTATCAAGTTTATATTTGAATTTTTGAAAAACTCAACTATAAAATTATGTATTATTGTATGAAAAATACTGGAGATTCACAATTTTATATTTACAAATTCAATTACGATAATGTCAAAAGACAATTTGTGACACCTCAAACATTGAATTAATATAATAAGAACAAATGTAGAATAAAATATTGAATTTTATAAATGTATATGACAAACATGTATTTTAATTTAAAATTAGGGGATTATTATACTAATTAGGATAAATATAAAATTAAGCAAAGTTGTAGATTAGCTCAACAGAAATTAAAAAAAAAAAAAGCGTAATGATTTTGGATATTTGGGCCAATGTGTAAATAGGCATGAACTCTAGACTTATCTCCTACATGCTTGGTAGTTAAGTTGCTTGGAGATAAGGCTTAGGGGGTTTAGCTCCTAGGACAATAGACCTAGGAAACATGGCACAAGTTTACAGTAGCAACACTAGTATAAATAAGAGTATAAAACATAGTTTAACCAGCTAAAAATCAGAAACAAAAGTAAGGAACGGAAGAAGGGTGCTTTGAGAGCCAGTAAAAAAAGGGGAAATTTTGGTAACGTAAAATATCAATATTAATGTATGTTATATTATATTTTGAGTTATCATAATATATTTTACATATTTTTTGAATTATCATAATTTATTTTATACAAGTTATGTTTTATAATTTCTATTTATATTTCAATTACGTTAATTATTTTCTAAACTCCATTTGCTTAAAAAGAAATTCATGGATATGTTTGTTTAAATTTTAAAAATTATTTGACAATAATTTTGTAAATAATTATTTTCTGTAAGTACTACCACGGGAGTTCCATACCTTGAGGGACTTAAATAACCATTGGCCTCTGTTTGGCCACTTTGTGGTCTTCTATTTGTCATGAATCCATTGACCTCTGTTTTGACTGTCACTTCGGTGACCTCTGCTCTGTTTTGTTTTGTACGGTGGTTATAGTTATTTATTTACATAATTTATGTATTTCAGTTTTTGATACTTAAATTATTTGTTTATTCAAATTAAGTTATGTTACTGCTTTAGCTTGACTAACGATCCATGGTTATTTTGTGTTCCCTATACTCTTGGCATAATATTGTTCACTCTGATGTGTGCTTATAGCTGTTATCCTTTCAGGTGATGAGATGTAAGGAAGACCCGTAACCTCGTGTAGTGGAACCCGCACAAGAGTTTGATGCTGATCCGTTATTTTGTTTTTCTTTTATTTTCTTCCTTTTGTTTTTTTTATTGATTGTCGGTCACTAAATAATAAAATAATAAAAGTCCTGTAGATGTACCTTCTTTTATCAAAATAGTAGAATGTAGTAAATATTTTGTTTAATTGTTTTTATTTTTATTTGCCTTCACTTGTGCCATTTAATTTGCTACGATTAGAATTAGTTAACAAGTTGCGATTTCAGCCCTCAGCTCCTGAGGTGGGGTCGTGATAAAAGTGGTATTAGAGCAATGGTTAGGACTAAGAAATAAATAATAATAATAATAATAATAATAATAATAATAATAATAATAATAAGAAGAAGAAGAAGAAATAAAATAATTGCATGATAAAATAAATAATAAACTAAAGAAACAAATAACAAACATTTACCTGCCACGTTAGTCATTTTCTATAAAATCTCACGTTTATTTTGGTGTTGTAGGAATGTCCGAGATTAACCTTAATGCGGCAGTTAGGAGGAGCTTGAGGCCATTAATTTGGAGGATATTTTAGCAGAGCACCCCACTCCCACTTCACCTGAAGGATGGGGAGACTTGGAGGATATAATTAGGAGACTGTATCCAAACCTTGCCCAATTGATGAGTCGACCAATATATATACAGACCGATCCTACTGATGTACCATACCTATTGTGGAGGTAGACCCCTGCCTACACACGTGGACATTTTCTTAGACCCACCCGTGTCCTCGACCTTACCCCAGGATATGACTGCTCGCACTACATCATTGGCCGTTTGCCTCTAGATTTTGTTGCCAGAAGGGGAAATGTTTACCCCAAAGACTACATCTTCACCAATGTCCCTAACCTGTTGGAAATATTAATATTAAAAATGTTGATTTTAGTAATGACCTATCATACATTGAGCAACCTGGATGGATCTTCGATCGAGCGTTTTGGGGCTACATACAGTCCGTCTCCATTTACACAGTCCAGGCCGCATGGGTTTGTTTTGGTGTGGTCCAGTTAGGATGGAAATTTGAGTTTTTCATGCAATACTACTTACCATGGTTGTTTGACCCATAACTCTAGATTTTGGAGAAGAAAATTCTTTTGTAAGCTAACTATGATGGGTTCTGATCCCTATTTTGTTTTTGTACCTCATGGATGAGACACTAACATATTTTGATTTTTAGACAAGGATGTAATCTTATTTATAAAAATAGTAAAGTTGGTATTTTTATATATGTTGTGCTATATATTATGTTGCGTTATGAATACTGTACGGGGGAAAATATCCAGTACTGCCCTTACTCTTCGTGTCCAAGCTCCGCTTCGATCCGATTCACCTGCGAACACAACGGTGGTGAGTTACCCGGCAGTGTGTTGCCGGAAAACCCCTGCGACGGTCAAGTTAGCACACACTCAGAGAGAGAGAGAGAGAAAAAGCGAGAAAATGACTGAATGCTCGAGTTTCTCTCACCAATTGATGTTCCATCCTCAGTATGGGGGGTGCAGTCATGCTTATATACCTTCTGTGCTTGCCTCTGTATCCATTTGCTGTCTGACGCGTGGACCTGCTCTCCTATCCCATTTTTCCACGTGTCAACGCAAATTCGGCTAAACCCTACCTAATCAAACCGCCAAACGACGTTGGCGCGAAAGGGCAGCTCGACTGTACTGACCCAGCCGAGCTCGTAGCCGAGTTCCATCATGACTGAGCTCAATAGTCGTCCATGGTGATTGAGCTTCCGCATAGATCCCCATTCGCCGAGTTAAACGAGCTAACAATCGAACTCGGGTTGGCAGAGGATCATCTCGGCCGAATCTGGTCTAGACTCCAACCAGGCTAACTTCCTCTCGGAGCGGCCTAGCCCAGCTCGGTCTAAACACGCTCGAGCCACATTTAGCCCGGCTCAAACCGCGGCCCAAGCGAGATTATGAAATCTCCCTCTCAATTGCCCCTTAATTCCGTCTGCGCTAGCGTGACTGGGATTACATGCTCCGGCCGTGGTCATTTCTCTGCCCGGTCGTACGCCGCAAGACTTTAACTGCATTAAGCCCCATGCTCGGTCTCTTTACTTGCCCGGTTAGCACCTCGACTTACCAACCCGTCCTTTCAAAACTAACGCCGCCGTCATACGGACACGCGTCACACACTCGTTGGCCTCGAATAGCCAACCCCATCACCTCTTTACATTCGAATTTTGGCGCCTCTTCTTTCCTTTCTTATAGCCGTCGTCCTTTATCTCATTCCGCTTCTTGTTCTAGTTGTCTTCATTTGCAAAACCCTCCTGCGATCGAGAGCTCTCGCTCTTATTCATCCTTTTTGAGATCGAAGCATCCACGCAAGCACGTTCTACACCATCGTCGTCGCTGAGGGCCTCCATCTCACTGCTTCAAGCCACCGTCAGTACTCTAGCCTGTAAGTTCTAAACCCTTCATTGTTCTTCATTCATTACTCTTGTCTCTTTTTTTTTTGTTTTTGTTTTTATGCCACTGATTATCATAGTTGAGTTTAGGGCACGTTAG